CCTTTGTTTAAATATAGTATTTTAGACTCACAGTTATTAATTTTAGTTATAATCGTTCTATTTTCAAGATATGATTTCAAGAGGTCGTGTCCAATTCCTCTGATTCCCATTGAAGCAAGGTTTTTCAGAAGTATGTTGTGGTCAACTGTATCAAAAGCCTTTTTTAGATCCATGAAAATCGCTACTACATAATTTCCTTTGTCGAGTCTGTCCTGAATGAAATTGATTACTTGTAGCACAGCAGATTGTGTACCACTGTTTTCTTGAAATCCGAATTGGTTCAAATCGAATCCATATTTTTTATTGATAAAATCTACAATTCTTTTTTTGAGAATTTTTTCTAGAATTTTGGAGAAAATACTTAATAATGCTATTGGCCTATAATTTACTGGATTTTGAGCATCACCACTTTTATATACAGCCCGTAAAGAGATATTTTTCAATTCATCTGGAAAAATACCTGTTGTGAAAGATATATTGATTAATTTTGTTAGTGGTTTGGCCAAAATATTTTTCAATTCTATTATATCTCGTGTAATCAAACCTTCTGGATCAGGACATTTTTTTTTAAGAGTGCCAATTGTATTTATTATTTCATATTCATCAGTGGGAATCAGAAGTATTGTTGAATCATTGTAACGTGGTGCAATATTGTCAGTAGTCATATAATTGTAGAATTGTTTCAATTCATTAGCAGTATTTTCACCAATACTTGAAAAGTGTGAGTTCATTGCCTCAGTTATTTCTAGATTGCTATTGATAATTTGGCCATTAATTTTTAAAGATTCAATATCTGCCTTCTCGGAAATTTTCGATTTATTTCTCAAACAGTAATTGATTGTATCCCACATTTTCTTTGGATTACCTTGAGATTCTTCAAATTTTCTATTGATATATTCAATTTTAGCTCTCTTTACCATGGCATTAACTTTATTCCTTTGAATTTTATAATCAGTAAGAAATTCTACATTATGATTGTTTCAATAATTCACAGAAGAGTGAAGTTGTGTTCCAATATTTCACCTCCAGGGCCGGTCACAGTGCACGCGACCTATAGCGTTTCCACTCGCCGATTTACAGAGCGCACTAGCACCGAGCAAGTACAGGGTGCGCCTCTTAAAATGGACCCCTCCCTTAACTCTTTTGTTTTCGGAGATATGAAAAAATGATAAATAAAAAAGTTGTTTGACACGACCCAAACTTTCATTTCGTAAAGTTGTTTCATATACAGGGTCATTCGTTTTTCCAGAAAGGACATAAACTTCGATTTTTTCAATAGAACACCCTATATATTTTGCAAATGTCGATAGAGCTTTTTTATCTGATTCCAAAAATATATACGAGTTGCATATTCGGATGAAAAATAATTGAGATATTGATGATCAAAGTTGACCAAAATACCGCTTCATGAACCTTCACTTCATAGGTAATATCATCTAATGTAAGTTGAACATAGTGGGCTTTGAAATAATGTTTATAAATTGTTTGAGCTCCATGTTTATCATGAATTTGAAAACGTTCGATTTCTATAGAAAAAAAAATGGGTCACAGTTTGAATGAAAGATGCGAAATTTTGGAAATATACATTTTTTGCGGGAAAAATGCAACCGCTGCTCGTAGAGAATATGCGCATCGGTTTGGTGATCGTCCACTTCTATCATTGAATACCTTCAAGAGGATCTTCGAGAAGTTCAGATGAGATGGTGGTAATTTGGGTGATATGAAGAGGAATCGGCAAAAAATGGTACTCATAGAAGAGACAGAGGAAAATATATTACTTTATTTCATTGAAGACCCGAGTCGTTCGACAAGAATGGCTGCAAATTCCTTCAATATATCTACGACAAGTGTGAGACGAGTTTTGAAGAAGCATCATATGAAGCCATACAAAGTAATACCAGTGAATTATTTATTTCCTCAAGATCATCCAAATCGTTTACGATTTTGTCATGAAATAATTGAAAGACATAATCACGATGAAAATGTTACTAAGAATATTTAATTCACAGATGAGTGTTTATTTTCAACTTCAGGAATATTTAATAGGAAATATGAGCATAACTGGGCTACGGTTAATCCGAGAGTAATGAAACCGATTAAAAAACAAGGCCGCAGAAGTGTGAATGTCTGGTGCAGTGTTTATAACACTAAAGTAATTGATCCCATCTTCATTGATGGCAGTCTTACGGGGCAAAAATATTTGGATATGTTGCAAGGTGATATTGAAAACTTGCTTGATGAAGCAATACCTTTGAATAGACGAAACCAATTGGTATGGTATCAGGATGGTGCACCTCCTCACAATGGAATTGAAGTCACGAACAACCTCAATGAGAGTTATGACACTTGGATTGGAATGCGAGGACCAATATTTTACCCGCCCCGTAGCCCAGACCTGACGTCTTGTGATTTTTTCCTGTGGGGAGCGCTGAAAGACAAGATCTATAAACATGATATTCCGGATACTGACTTCTTGAAAAATAAAATAACAGAAGAAATTCAATTATTGAATAATGATCCAATATTATTTGAAAGGGTTCGCCAAAATTTTATAGCAAGGTGCCAACTCTGCATTGACCAGAATGGCGGAATTTTTGAAAATTTGTTGTAGATAGCTCTAATGTGTATTCACAATCTCATATAGTTCATTCAATAAATATTGTTTATAAAGATTCATTCATAATGATTTGTAGTTCATTGACTTTTCCATGGAATATTTTTTCAAAGCCCACTATGTTCAACTATGATATAAAGTGAGAATTCATGAAGCGGTATTTTGGTCAACTTTGATCATCAATAACTCAATCATTCTTCATCCGAATATGCAACTCATATATATTTTTGGAATAAAAAAAAAGCTCTATCGACATGTCGGAAAATATATAGGGTGTTCCATTGAAAAAATCAAAGTTGATGTTCTTTCTGGAAAAACGAATGACCCTGTACATGAAACAATTTCACGAAATAAAAGTTTGGGTCGTTTCAAACAACTTTTTTATTTTACATTTTTTCATATCTCCGAAAACAAAAGAGTTAAGGGGGGGTTTCATTTTAAGAGGCGCACCCTGTAGTACTAGTGGCACAGGCTTGGTTCCTCCGAATAGTGCAGTTCCAGCACAGAGCAGTGGAACAGAAATCGAGAGTTGATGCGAATCAATGTGCGACTATCTTTTCCTTGTCGTCAAAAATGTCAGAATTGCTTTGTCAATCGAGAAGTGAAATTATTGATATCAGATTAATAGCACATTTAGTTCCGCAGGTCCACATAGAATAGATTCATCTACCTTTTGTGGTTTCTCTGTGAGCACTGCCAGCAACAGTCTTATGAATAAAGATGTAGTTCTTCACATTGTCAATGATGTTCAATTGAATGCCGACAAGAAATAGTGATTTAGCATCGAAATGTCGTTTACAAAATTAGTCTTTTTCATCATTACTGAATCAACAATTGAATAATATTAATCTCAGTGAATTTAGGAATGAGGCATCTTATTTTCTTAGAGACATAATCAATATGATGATCCCATTTCAGATTATTGTCCATCATTATACCAAAGTATTTGATACAGTCAGTTTCCTGAATTTCAATATCTCTATTTATCTTTAGAGTGCCTAAATTTTGTTGAGAATTTTTATAGGAAGTAAATGTCATATATTTTGTTTACTCAAAATTATTTGTTAATAAATTCTGATCAAACCATTTTTTAATAATAGGGAAATCATTGATTACTTTGTTTTTCGATTCACACCAATCTTTCGCAGAGTGAAAGATAACAGTATCATCTGCAAAATACTCAAACAATTTCGGATCACTGTAGATTTTATTGATTTCAGCATTTTGAATTCTATCAGAAAGGTAGTTTTGTATTAATTTATATCCAATCCCACAAAATCCAATATTTTCCATTTGTTTTAATAGGAGCTCATGACTAACTGTATCAAATGCCTTAGCTAAATCAAGAAATATACAGAGAGTTGTTGTTCATCAATAGATTTATATAAATTATTAGTTAACAAATAGCAGGTTGGGAAGAAATATTTTTTTGAACCCAAATTGTTGATTCCACAAAAAGTTCAATTTACTCAAATAGCTGTCAATTCTATACTTCAGTATTTTTTCAAAGACTTTTGTGGAAGTGGATATGAGAGTGATTGCTCTATAATTTTTAATTTCGTCTTTATTTCCAATCTTATAAATTGATTCGATAGCTCCAGTTTTGAATGATTTTGGACAAATTCCTGTTTGGAATATAATATTTATAAGGTACGCTAATGGTTTGCTTATTATATTTGATGAAGCTCTCAACATTTCAGATGTTATTGTCACGAGTAGAACATACGGTATATCAGTAATTTCGAACCATGAGGGTTTTATAAACATAAAGTAAATCAAATCATCCGTTGACATTGAATTATGAAAACTGACCAAGGAACTCTCATGAGAAACGTGCATATCCAATAAAATGATGTATATAAATATTGGATGTGAGGGTTCCGAAGTTAGTCTGGTCTGGGGCTACTCTTGACTTGACAAGAGCTCGTCGTTATGGTATCTATAATGTAAGTTGTTATTAGGTCTTTATATTCATTGTTGTTTATTCATAATTGTTATCGCTACCCATAATGTTTCATGCTATAATACATATTGTTATGTTTGAATGTAGACTCGTACTTTCAGTTATCTCTAAACTATTAGTGCCTATTCAAATATTACCTCTCGCAAACTATTTAGCCAAGCATTACCCCTTATAAATCGATATGGATGGGCCTAACCGTCTTTTGTTGTGACATTATTCCATCTATACCAGGGCATTTTTTCAATTTCAAACTGAATATTGTATCCTCAACTCCCTTTTCATTTGTTTCTTCTAAGAAAAATTTATTTTTTTTGTTCTATGGTAATATGTATTGACTGATCCTCGTCATAGACCATAGATACTGTTTGGATGCATATTCGAGTTTCCTAATAACTCATTAGAAGGAAGAAACAGATGAAATACCTTGTAGCCTCGGTGGATTGGGTGACTAGATCCTTCGAGCAGTCCGAAGCGTCCGTGGCGAAAATGACGGTGGGGCCCCAGCAGACGGCCAGATTGTACGTGTCCATCTTATTTTGATCTTTGTACTTGACCACCTCGATCAGGTGCCGGACGAGAGCTAACAGCGTTTCCGAGTTGGCTTCAGGCAGGTGCTTCAAGATCGTCCGCACTTTGTCTTTGTCTTTCTTACAATAGTTCTTGTCGTTCCCTGGATGAGAATATTTTCTTTTTGTTTTTTCAATTGACTCGGCCGTAACTTGATGGAAATACATGGCAAATGTAAAAACTTCACAAACGATAAGATTTCCACGAAATTCTCAAACACACGACATGATGAACTCTTGAAACAAACTGACCAGATAAAATATCTTGGTATTTGGTTTGATGACAGGTTGAAATGGGACAAACACATTGATGTTCTGACAAAAAAAATATCTCCAATTATTGGTGCATTGAGAAGATGTCCCAAACTTGATATTAAAATTGCAAACATGATTCTCTACTCTCATATACTGAGTCGTATCAACTATTAAATAAATGTTTGGGGATCTTGTTCAAAAAATAATTTCAATAAAATATCAACATTATATAGAAAATCGTTAAAAGTATTGTATCGTCTCCCATTTGATACACCAACCGATCAATTGTATGAAATAACAAATACGTATTCTTTAGATGAAATATATAGAATTGAAACTCTTTTAAAATATCATATAATAAAGGGTGGGCCATCTATTGGTCCGATTTTGAGTAGATCATTAAATAAACAAAAGCTGATTTTTTTGCAACGAATTTCGCTTTATTTGCTACAGTGTTTCTTCCGATTAAGTATGGAAAATGATTTCATTGAAATGTTGGCCACGGCTGGCTCGGCAGTAGGCCATCCTGGAACACCAATTTTCGAGCACTTTGTTCACTGTTTCCTGGTCAATTTGGGCAATTTCGGCACGAATATTCTTTTTCAAGTGATCAATTGTTTGGGGATTGTCGGCATAAACTTTACTCTTCAATGTACCCCACAGAAAAAAGTCCAGCGGCGTCAAATCGCAGCTGCGAGCAGGCCAGTGGACATCGCCGAAACGGCTAATCACACGGTTGTTGAATCTTGTGCGCCGAAGGTTGATGCTACGCGCGGCGGTATGACAAGTTGCGCCATCTTGTTGAAACCATAATTAATCGGAAGAAACACTGTAGCAAATAAAGCGAAATTCGTTGCAAAAAAATCAGCTTTTGTTTATTTAATGATCTACTCAAAATCGGACCAATAGATGGCCCACCCTTTATAATAAATAAAAAATTGAAGTCGAATATTATTTTGATACGGAATTCTGAAATTCATAATCATGAAACTAGACAATATAACTTGTTTCATCTTGACGCTGCTAGCTCCCTAATCGGACAAAAAAGATTCACTCATTCAGCCTTAACTGAATTCAATAAACTACCTGATCATATAAAAAATTGCAGAAATATAGGTATATTCAAAAATGAAGTAAAAAAACTGATTATTTCTGAGCGGACTGGATAAAATTAATCATGCCATTTTTTTTTTACAAATATTATTCTTTGTTTGCCAATTTACAGTTGTTGATATATTTTGAATGATGCTATGTTTACCTATAGGTATATAATTATGTACTTCCTTATACCAGAGCCTATTCTGTCTGGAAGTTATTTGTTCAATAAATAAATAATAAATAAATAAATCGTACCAGTATATCAACTGACGAAGCTACTGTGTTAGCGAAACATGTCGTGTGTTTGAGAATTTTGTGGAAATCTTATCGTTTGTGAAGTATTTACATTTGAGAATATTTACTGTTGTCCTTCTTTTGACTATGACCTCATTCGAATTATTAATGGTTATTTACCCTAACAAGTGCGAAAAGTGTTACTTTTCCGTTAACAAGTCACAACCAAGAATATGTTTTACTATTCCTATAGCATTTTATAATAATAATAATAATAATAACAAATCGTCTTTATTCATCATTTGCAGAAAAAATCGCACAAATAAAAATCAAAAGACAAATATAATTTTCCATACCTTATATACCTATCTGCAATGATGAATAGGCGGAGTATCAGCAGAAAGCTGTTTTTCAACTCAACCCCAAAAATTAAATGAGAAGAACAAGTTTATTTACAAAAATATAAATCATGAAAGGTGTAGAAACAATGTAGATGCGTTTTTTCTCGAAGAAACACCGATATATTATAAGTATATAATAAGAAGAAATAATTGAAAAATTTGAATAAAAAATTGCATAATATTGAGAATTGAATATCAAAGGATTGTCAGGGAAGCATTGCTAGATTTTTGATTGTAATAAGACCTACCTGGAAAGATCTATATTCGATGGGAAGTGAATTATAATATTTGCTAGCTGTATAAGAGAAACTGCGTTAGATACAGATTGTGACCAAGAACTTCCATAAAACATTACCAATGTAGCATCAGCATATGATGATATAAATAAGAAAGATGAGAGGACCTAGAACAGTTCCTTGAGGAACACCACAAATAAGATATATATTTTTGACTGAAAGTATCTCGTAATTTTGCAAGTTCCCTTTCTGATGAGTACCTCTTCAGTTCACTCTTGAATATTGTGACGAACTTAATAGATTTTATTCTGTTGGGTAGACCATTATTGATATTCATTCCACAAAAATATATTGATTTTGTCCATTATCGGCAAACAATTAGTATTCTACAATGAATCATTTTATATAATTCATTAATTACGAATTGGAACCTATTGATGATGAAACAAGATTCAACATTAATATGAAAAAATATATACTGTGTCACTATAAACGGAGCAATGTATTTTCATCTGAATACTTGGATTGATTTTGTCACAATTATTATGTTATTATTGACATAACTTCTTAATCAATTGGTCTTTTTTTATTATATACATGGTGTTTCAGATGTATGAGTACATACAAAAAATACAGGAAATCCGTTGAATGCAAGAACATTGGAATCCAGATCTGAAAACACATGCACCTGTCTTTATCCTGTCATATATCAGGTAATTTCCAACGGATTTGTATCTTTGACCTCTTGTTATATTCACAAAAGTCCATGCTTTCAGAATATCATACGTAAAAATATACAGTACGACTCAAAGAAGTTCCAGCCAGTTTGAAAGTTTGATCAAGTTTAGGCGTGTCCGCCATTTTATTTCCTGAAAGAATTTGAAATATATAAAGTTGAGTTTTATCTCGTGCAATTATCTTCCGAACAAGACTAAAATCAAAGAAATCGGTTCAATAATAAAAATGTTATCATTCAAAAACAAAAATACGGTTTTTTGTCGACAACCCTATATAAATAAAAAAATCCATTCTCTCTTAAAACACTTGTATATTTCCTTGAAAAGTAGTTACTGACGTGAATCAAAGACCATTGTATTATGAAGAGACCACACTTCAATACAAACCATAAATAAACGAAGTTTAACCACTTACCTCTGCCACAGGGCGTCCACGGATAAACGATTCAGTAGAAATTTCACCAAAATCGGACAAGAAATAAAAAAGTTACAGGGCGAACAATTCGGCAAAATTTTTTGGCGGTGTGTATATCAAGGCCATTGAACGACTGAAAGAGACTGCCGTTTTCTCGAATAGCACAGAGTCTGGCAGGGGCAGCTGCAACAGAGCTTGTGACAAAATCAGGGCAGATACCCTCAAACCAATATCAGAATTCATTGCTCCGCCGCTATGTTATATAATCAATAAGTGCATTGAGCATAGATATTTTCCGAAATCCATGAAGATGGGGTTGATCAAACCTCTTTTCAAAAGTGGAGAAAAAACCAGAGTAGGAAACTATATCTTTAATTTCAACTCTTGCCAAGGTATTTGAGAAAAATCATTAGAATCAGACTAGTCAAGTTTTTCGATAAGCATCAGGTTTTTTCTGAAAATCAGTATGGCTTTAGGGAGAGAAGGTCAACCGACGATGCAATTAGATCACTGACAAAATTGATATATCAACGGTTACGGTAACCTGTCTCTTTCACACTCGTGTTGTTTAATGGCTGATTGGTGAATTAATGTCCCCTTATGGAATGATTGGAGTACTTATTTTTTATTTGAACAGGCAAAAAGGTGAGGACAGAATTTCATGGTTTTTGTGTTGTGAAATATCGCTTAACTTTGCGTGTTTGGTTTCTTGAAAAAGACTGAATTTATTGAAGTTTGTTGTTGAGAAGGTTTGTGATTTCTAATTAATAAACAATGGTTATTTATATTTTGTTTCCTTTGGAAGCAAAACAAGCAAGACAAACAGAAATTGTCCTTCATGGGTAAGATGGAAATTGTTCAGATTCTTAGAAAAACTATTTCAGGATGTGTCTCTGGATGTGTTTGTAGATGTTCATAACTTGGATTCTAAGAACGATGTTTTTCATATGGACATTGATTTGCCTACAATTTCCAGCTCCCAAGTTTCAAAGTTTATTGATAATACAAGAACTAAAGACGAGAATAACAATCTTGATGAGGTACTAAAAAAACATTTTGAAGGTAAAAACTACAAGTTCAAAGCTATATCATATTGTCTTCTCATGATTGCCATTGAAACTTCTCCTTCTCCAGAAAAGTAAAAATGAAGGTGTACATTCTGGGCGACGCTGATATTTATATTTAATGAAACAATTTGTCCAAACATTGTACTTTTATTAACCTTCCTATCACCTTCTAATAGTGACATGTTTATGGAAAAATTTGTACTCTTAAATATTAGGCATAATATAGACCTTAGGTACTCAATACCATTCAAGAACCTCTTTTCAATTTCTTTCTATCGCTTTTCTTTTTCTTCTGATAATGCTGAGACATTGAGCTTCGCTCACTCTGGATATTTTGTGACTTTTGAATGGAAGTATATAATTCCAAATTCTGTTATTCATTTGACTTCCTAATCCTGTAAGAATAAAAATGAAATTTCAATTTTGATTCAATAATATCAATAATTATTTCCGAATAATAATTGATTGCATCATATTCGTTTTTTCCTAAATGGATATTTATATTTAATCACGTTCACTTCTGAATAAAAGCAAAAAACGAAAAAATATTTCAAATAATGCGAGCGCTTCCCATTAGCCAACATAAGATAGAAAGAGATAGGTATCCGTAACCACTGCGGGTTGCCTGAACAATCTTTTTGCCTCACTCGTCGTTCACAGAGGATCCCTTCCAGGTGTTTACATTGAGTTCAATGATCAGGGCACGTCATTCTGATCGGTAACTTGACTTGATTGGCCGTTCATTAAAAAAAAAGAAAACACGACTCACTTGCAAGACACGACAGATTATCACAAGTTTGGCAAGACATCAGCGGCTCCTTCAACTCTCTGAAGAACAGCTTCAGACTGCCGGTGAGCACGTCGGGATCCTTGGCGTAGTTGTCGAGGATGCCCGGATTGCCCTTGTCCACTTCCAGGCGGATCTTCTGGATGGTGGCCAGGTTGCCGGACGTCCTGTACAGTCCCAAGCTGGTGATGTTGTCGGGCCGCTCGATGAGCTCCATGGTTTTCAGGATGAAACTGGGAACGCCTGGAATGATGACAGGACGGTAGTTGTTATTTTACCTTATCATCAATCTCGTCTTGTTTCGAACCATGGAAGCAATGTAAGCGAATTCCACTTTGAAAACTGATGCATTTTTTAAAAGTCAACCAGAGCATGAAACATTCTTTATTGGAATTTAAGGAATTTTTATGGTGAAATTTTAGGAACGTTTAGGAGTCAGAAATATTCTTAAATTGTTTCTAAATATTTCAAAAATATTCTGATATGATTCAAATATCCACCAATGTTCTGAAAATACTAATAATATGTTTCTATGTTGACGATATTTCGAGAATGTTCTTTCAAATATGTAGTGATATTCGAGAAATATCAGAATTATTCTTGAAATAAACAAAAGTAGACCCGCATTTTTGTTATGATTTTCATTAAGTAACGGCCGAGTCAACTGAAAAAAAAAAGCATCGTAGTTATTCAAAGGAATAAAAATGAACATCGGGAAGTTTGGTGAAGGAACATTTTGAAATCATGGTGGCGGGATATAAATCACAATTTTTTTCTGTGACGGGAAAAAAGTTTGGCATTTCATCTCTGTTGGTAGGTTATAAAATGTCACTTTTCATAAATTACTTTTTTCCGGGATATATATCACATATATATACACTGTTGATGGCTTCTGTTGTGCAAACAAGGAGTTCCTCAGGGATCCATACTCGGACCATTACTTTTTCTCATTTATGCGAACGACTTGATACTATATCAAAATAGTCTTTCGAAGGTACATATAGTTGCATATGCAGACGATACAAATGTTCTGGTCAATGATCATAATAAATCAGCACTTGTAGAAACAACAGAATCCATATATGAGAGAATAATGGAATGGGCTGATAAAAATCATTTAGCACTAAATATCAACAAAACAGCATTAGTAAAATTCTCAATGCATAACACAACTGAAACTCTAAAAATATATGAAGATAACCAAATAGAGGTGACATCCAACCCAGAAACAAAAATGCTAGGTCTAATTATAGATCATAAGCTCAATTGGAGTCCTCATATAGATTCATTATGTGATAAACTACGAAAGAACTGTTATGCACTGGGATTTATGTCGAATCATTGTGGAATAGAGGTCCTGCTAAATCTGTATTATGCAACTATTGGCTGTAAATTGGGGTATGAGCTCTTCTGTTGAAAGAGTATTCATTCTACAAAAACGCGCGGTCAGAATAATTGCTAATTTAGGATGGCGACAATCATGCAGAAACTCATTTAGAGAGCTGGGAATACTGACAGTTGCTGGTCTGTATATATATGAGATATGTCTCTACGTTTATAAGAATAGAGATAAATTTAGGGCAAACCAACAAGACCACCCTTATCCAACGAGAGCGAGAGGTTTGCTGATAGCAAACCCTCACCGAACCTCCCTTTATCAGAGGAGTCACCTCTACCTTGGACCCAAACTATTTAACAAGCTAGATGTTTCTATTAAGGATTCAAAGAATATCTCCATATTCAAAAGACAATTAAAAAAATATCTCATAGAAAGAAACTGCTACACCGTTGACGAGTTTTAGTAACTCACGATAATCAATAAATCACCCATCTATGTATGTATATGTCCAAATTAATAGGTGTCAAGTTTTGTCGTTTTAGATAAAATGTTTGTTTTTTTTTCTATATCTATATTTATCTCCTATACTCTCTTATTTATACACAGACGTATTCCTTGTTACTGTACGTAAATGTTTATTGTAACGCTTTCATACGGTTTAACAAGTGAAATAAATATTATTATTATTATTATTATTATTATAGTTCCGAAAAATGAGTCAATAATACCGTCTCCGAGAAAGTCCTTTTATCTTCCATTCGACTTCGCGGTTATGTACATTACTAAACAACCACTAAACTCGCAATTTTTTCAAATCAAATCAAAGAATAAGACTGACAGAAGTGACATCAGATATTTGATTACTTCAAAAGAATGATAAAGATGCCTACAACGCTGGTATCCCCACTGTTAAAAACTTAAAATTTCACGTCGATAAGTTTCAGATTTCAAAATAATGTAATATCTTCTCGATATTGATACGTTCTTTCTTCTGTCACAGAAAAAAATTGTGTATTATACACGGGACAAATATTAGATTTTAGCTCACAACCTGGAGCTAAAATCTACTACTTTTTTCCCTTGTATAATAAATAACTATTATTCAAGGAAAGAATCCGCTCATCCTGAAGATTCTGATCAGGATAATGAAACAAAACTATTAAATTATTCTATTGTCATCGGTCCTTGATAAATGTGCAAATTTTCAATGCAATTTGACGTTTTGAAGTGGTTCAAAATCATGTTTGAAAAGGAGTTCCCCAAGGATCAGTGTTGGGCCCGATTCTGTATCTTTTATACATTCAAAACATTTCAAAAATAAATTCAATAGGAAACTATGCCATATATGCAGATGACACAGTACTTTCATTTGAAAACAAAAACCCTGTAATTTTAGAAATCAACATAAATGAGGATTTGAAGAAAATGGAAGAATGGCTTTTCTCCAATTTTCTTTCTCTCAATTCTAATAAGGCGAAATATATAACTTTCCATCAAAGAAATGAACAGAATATTGATTTGAATATTAGAATAAAAAATGGGAGATTGAAACAGTCTGGACCAAATACCTTGGTATTTTTTGGATTGATGAAAAGTTAACATGGAACAAACATATTGGCATGCTCGAAGAAAAAACTCCTCCCATAGTTGGTGCCCTAAGAAGTTGTCCAAAACTCATCCCGAATATAGCAGATACCGCGTTCTATACTCTCACATCCAAAATTTTTACAAAATATGTGTACTATATCAGAAAGCATTAAAAGTAATGTATCGTCTTCCATATGACACCCCATCAAATCAACTTTATGAAGAAACGATTACATTTTCTTTGGAAGAGCACTATCTGATAAATACTCTCAAAATTTCTTTCGATATTATCAACAAACACCTCAAATCTATCTTCATAATTGTAAGGAATTCTCAAATCCATGAACATCATACTAGACAATATGACTTGTTTCATCTCGATGCTGCTCATTCTACACTTGGTCAAAAAAAGTTAGCTCACGGAGCTATCTCAAAATTCAATAAATTACCTGATGATATCAAAAGTTGCACGAATATCACCCAGTTCAAAATTAAAGTCAGAAAACATATCCTCTTGCAAAGTGAAAATCAAACCTGAGTGAATGATTTCTCATTCCCTATTTTTTTTTCATCATGTCATAATGTACTTTTTATGAGATTTTTGTTTATTATTATTATTATTAATATATCTGTTGTTTATTTCAATAACTTAGATTTAATAACACATGACTAATATCATACCAGATATGAAGCTGTCTGATTATTAATGTTATTTCATTGAATATCTCAATAAATAGTTATTTTTTCTGTGACGGGAAAAAAGTTTGGCATTTCATCCCTGTTGACAGGTTATAAAATGTCACTTTTCATAAATTACTTTTTTCCCGTGGGAAAAAAGTGAGTACTTTTTTCCCGGATATATATCACATATATATACACTGTTGATGGCTTTTGTTGTGCTATAGTTTCGAGAAATGAGTCAATAATACCGTCTCCGAGAAAGAACTGCAAGTCCTTTTATCTTCCATTCGACTTCGCGGTTACGTATAATACTAAATAACCACTGAATTCGCAATTTCTTGAAATCAAATCACAGAATCAGACTGACAGAAGTGACATCAGTTATTTGATTACTTCAAATGAATAATAAAGATGCCTACAACGCGGTGTCCCTATTGTTAAAAACTTAAAATTTCACGTCGATAATTTTCTGTCACATAAAAAAATAGTGTATTATACACGGGAAAAATATTAGATTTCAGCTCACGGTTTGTTGTCTCCCTCCGCTACGCGTCGGGACAACACAACCTGGAGCTAAAATCTACTACTTTTTTCCCTTGTATAATAAATATATTTTTTCTACGAACGTCAAAAAATGACAAGGTTCGCGCATTGATAACAAATTGAAATGACACTTTTTTTCAGTTTCCTACGTTACCATGATACCTTGCATAAAACAATGCGCGAAGTACCTACTTCGCGCATTGTTATGAAAAATATATGAGATATTTATATTTCAACTTCATGGTCCTCAATCGAGCAAACATCCACGAAATCATTTATTTTTGAATGTTCAACAAAAACTTTGTTTTATCTCTTGAAGCGCACGAAAGGAAATTCCAAATATGTTCGTGGAACATCGTGCGTACCTAGGGAGGATAGGGGGAGGCCTTCTGAACCAGTTCAACACTATTTTTCATATCAAGCTAAGCATATTTTTACTTTGAATTATATTTTTTGACGTTTGTAGAAAAAATTTTGTTTGCAACTCGAGCGCGAAATACTTTGGTCTTCTCGACTAGTTTTTTAACTCGGCTACGCCTCGTTAAAAAAATCAGATCTCGATCACCAAAGTCGCATTTTCGCGATGTTTATAACAAAAAATCAAATAAATATCATTATTATTATTATTAAATGGAGAATTAATAAATACCATTTTCTGAATTGTAGATGTTCTTGAGGGTATTTCCGAAGATAGGCTCGTTCTGATAAATCCCCTTTTTCTCGAGCACCTCTCTGCTCGACCTCTTTCCCAACAACCTCAACAAAGTTTTGGTGATGGTCGACTTTTCCGTGTCGAAGAGACAGGCGACGTTGTCGGTTTCGGTGAAATTCTTGGCATCCTTGGAAGAATCGAAGATGAGCAGGTACGCCTGGTTGAAGGTGTCTCGCAGTTCTACTTCTTTTTTGTTCAGCACCCTTGCCGACTTGAATGTCACGCCGATTTTCAAACGCTGCAAACAAAGTGAGTGAACGGATGAGTGAAATGAGACTGGAAACTGGAATATTCAAGATTTTTGACCTGAGGCACGTATAAGTTATATTGGTTGTAGATGTGCGTTCAGTCCATAGGATACATACATTTATATTGAAATGGCTTGTTTACTGACCTTTGTAAATGAGATGAAAACTCTTCGATTCGCTGAGGTGTCAAAGTTTTCGATTTCTCAGGTTTGTATCCATATTCTGATTGCATAATTTTGCTCACATGGATATTGTGCTTTACGTTTATTGACATTTTTTATTTATATCGTTTTCTATTTCTTGGCAATATGCAAGTACCTATACCTAAAACACTTTCGTCTACATTTCGCATACATTTTTAATGAAGAATTTTGATACAAACAGAAATTGTTTGAATAATTATGATTGCAACAAAAGTCGAAAATGAAAGTTGACAGTTCCTGCAATTGACAGGCCGGACAGGACTCGAACGACTGAAGGTGTGTTTAAAAAACTCTGTTGGCATGTAAATGTGTTTAAGAAATTGTGTTGTCATGGTAACGTGTTTGATATTTTGAATAAATCACAGATCGTGATTAATCGATCATTTACCGTAGTACATATCCGTACGCTAAATGTAATTTTATTTATGTGAGTAGAAAAAAGAATATACATATCTAGTAATCATAATATCGATGTGACTTACTGAGAATTGTGTTAGGGAATCGTCAACTTTATATATCACATTATTTTGGTAGCGAATATGTTCGTTCTTCTTCAGTTTCAATAGAGAATGCTCATCCGGTAGTTGTATTTTCACGCAACCGGTGACTTTAAAATCATGTATCTTCCTGAAACAAAAAAAAAACAAGAACAAATGATAATAATAATGATTATTTTCTTCGCATGATTTTGAACCAATCAGAACGTTCAATTGAGTCAAGATACCTTGTATAATTTCTAATATACAGGGTGTTTCACAGGTAAAGGGAAATATTTCAATGGTAGATAGGGGTCACCAAGGTGGTTCTGAAAATACCATATTTGATACGTCTTGGAGTCTTCATAACGGAGATACAGGGCGATTTATCGATTTCGAATAATTATTCATTCCTCTTTGGCGTTTCAGTGGGGAAGAACTGAACACCTTTTTGAATATTTGCGAGGATCTTTTTGGCAGTGCCGAAAGCTGTATGGTAGCGGTTGATATGATGTATATTTACAAAATGAAAAATAGTGAATTCGTAGTCGAGGCGTCTCTGGTCAGTTAAGCTGTCGCGAACCGAGTAACCACTTCGAGTGTCGAGAAAAGACTGTCGTTCTTGAGGGTTGTTTTGAGAACGTGAGATCGGTTCGAAAACCCTAGCACGTTTCTCAGAAAAAGAGAAAACCTGGTAGTGTAACTCAAATTGAAATGAAATAATTAAGAATCATTTGTTTGGTACCTCCAGATGGAATTTTATTGGGGTACGCTAAGCCTGAGAACACGATCATAAAACTGTTTCGACAAACAATATTTGAATTTTGGGAAAGTCCACATCTGTTTTGTAATTTGTAAGCTTAGAGATCGCTTCGACTCAAAATTCGATGAAGATATATACAGGGTGTACCATTTACATGATAATAATGGATAATATTTACAATTGATATCAATAGTTATTTACAAAGTGAAATCTAAATATTATATACATATGACACAGAAATATACGGTGGAAATATGATTTCCCACACCTCTATAAGTATTGAACTATCCAGTATATTTTTCTAATATTTGGTATAATCATAATTGACACTGGTTTCATAATTTCAATACTCTTCAAATTGACATACTTTCAACTTTCTGTTTATGATTGTTACGATGAGAATTGGTGGCGGGAAAATAAAAAGCACCAAACCCAATTCAGTTTTTCCTCCTCTTCACATTTCCTTCGATGTACTGTGTTAATTATTAAATACAGTGTGTTATTTTAATATTTCGAATAAATGAACATTTTTCCTGAAGCCGAACCTGGATTTTCACTCTGCCCGATAGGTGAATGAATTTAAGGTCCCAAGTATAAGCTCATTACCAAATTTAAGAAAAATATACTGGGTGGGTCAATACATATAGACGAATGAATAATTATTCGAAATCGATAAATCACCCTGTATCTCCGTTATGAAGACTCTGAGACCTATCAAATATGGTATTTTCAGAACCACCTTGGTGACCCCTATCTTCCATTGAAATATTTCCCTTTACCTGTGAAACACCCTGTATAGGGTGAATTATGAGATTTGGCGAAAACATCTTTTGGGCATAACTTTTCACCAGGTCCTTCGATTCGTCTGATTCATTTATGGAATATTCCTCTCTACTAAACCCTAATCGACTGACATTTTTAGAATCGGAAAAATCCAGGACAGTTTCGATAGCTCAGTTTTTATCAAAAAGTTCATCCTGTATATGGTTTTTGTAAACTGTGACAGGGAATTTTCAAAACACATAAGCAAGCATAAAAAATAAAATATTCAAAATTCTCCTCATACTTTCACTGGATTTTCTAAAAATCGATAAATTATATGCAAAAACAAGTTTGACAACAAATTCATTCATTCAAAAATATTCACTTCACAACGCATAAATTTCACATATAAAAGTGAGACTCACAGTTTCAATGCTTTAGCCTTAGCCCAATGGAAATCAACATGTTTTTTCATTTCCGAATTTTCGAATCAGTGGATCGGGTATCTGTTAAGATGTTGATGGTCATCGAATCAAATAATTCAAGAAAGGCGAACAGAAAATAAAGGTTTATTCACAATTATTTTTCAAAAGCTATACTGACAAAGGCGGATAATAATACTAGTAAGGAAAATAGTGAATAAATTAACTGAATAAAACCATAGATTAATATTTTCAATCTATGATAAAACGAATCGAATAGATAATACTGTGAATTGACATCATAAGATTATCTATAGCGATGGCCATCAGCTATGTCACAGATACCCCATCCACTGATTCGAAAAAGATCTACAGGATGATTATTATCCTTCACAATAAAAATGTAATTACTTAACCCAGGCCTGAAGGTGAAATTTCCACCGATCTGGAGCATTTAAAATGTAAGTCTCACTTTTATTCGTAAAATTTATGGGTTGCGAAGTGATTATTTCCAAATAAATTTTTCGAAAGATTTTCGTTTTTTTATAATATTCATAGTTTTTTTCAAACTGAAGAGAAAGTGTGAAGACAATTTGGAATATTTTATTTCTGATGTTTGTTTGTGACCTTTGAAAATTTCCTGTCACAGTTCACAAAAACGATATACAGGATGAACTTTTTACTATTAACTGAACCAGAGATTATGGTGTGTATAATCTCTGACTAAACTATCAAAATTTTTCAAGAACGGTCCTGGATTTTTCCGACTCTAAAAGTCAGTCGATTAGAGAGTAGTAGCGGAATATTCCAAGCAAAAATAAGACGAATCAAAGAAGTTGTTCGGAAGTTATTACCAAAATATGTTTTTTCCAAATCATAATTCACCCTATACAGGCTGATTTTAAAATAAGTGCATATATTTTAAACACTAAGAAAGCTTGAGGTATACTACCGAATAGCACTATTAAAAATATTATTAGGATCAAAATAGATTTGGGGCAAAATACCCTTTTTCCGCCCAGATTTCTACTTCTGTCACAACTATCGTTTGCGATCCGCAGTCGACCGTGATGAACGAAGCGACGTTGCCACTCTACATGAAAATTAGGAGATATTAAATAAAATGTATAATCGAGAAAATGTACATGGGGAAGAAGTTAACCCTGGTCTTGAATTTGAGAAAGATAATACAAAAACTTTAAAATGGACTCACCCAAGATTTCTACACATGAGCTCGAATAGCGTATAACTTAACACCTCACGGTTGGAAGTTCTTTTACTGAAAAATCCTTTAGACCCTTCCTTCCACCTCCTTGCATCGCTACAATTTCGTGTCCTTCGAGGAGTCTCATGGGCCCCGCACAATAACGACCCGACATAAGAACCATATCATTCAGCTCAATGTTTGAGAAATGCATCGTCACATTCCAAGCAAATTGTCAGAAACAAAACTTTACATTTACTAGTATCACGATTTGACGTTTTCCACAATAACATACATTCTCAGAACAACAAACTGTCAAGAAAGGATCTTTGTTTTGATTGTTCTTATGGTGTGCTACCAGCAAGAATTCAGATGACCATGAATTACTAATAGGCGACTTTTACGGACCAATCAGAAACAGCAAAGTAGTGCCTGCGTGGTTGCGATTCATCCTGCTTGGGTACAGGTCATTGAGATTAATGTATTAGTGAGGAAGGATCATATCTTTAAATGGAACTAACATTTTCATGAAGAACTAATTTGGAAAAAACATCTATTAGTTTAATTCAATGAAATGATACTTCCTCACTATACACTAATTTAATACACTAATAAAATAATTGGATGTTGTGTCTTGTGTCGTGATAATCGTGATATGGTCGTGATCGTGATTTTCAATGTGAGATTGCCAGGAAGGATATGTCGTCGTCGAGTCGTTTTCGATGGTTTAAGTGCGAATATGAACCAACAAGAACACAGGACGATATTAGTCTGGAATGGACTCGATATTAGTATTTGTTTGCTCTCGGGAGTTTTGCTGTTTTCGAGCAGGTATGAGAAAATCTACTAGGTGAGTCGATTTTCAACTTTGTGTATGTTGTGTAGGTACCTATTTATTGTCTGCTAATTTTGTATCTACCCGCTGGGGCCTTATTTTCGAATTGAAAGAAGGGGGACGTTCTATCATTCCCCTCATGTTTCTCTCCGTCTCTCGTGATCCATGGAGATAATCACCCCACAGTTCTCTCAGTAAACTTTAAAAAATAAGGCTCCTGTACATATTACATTCACCTCTATTAGTTTCCATAACCTATTCCAATTCATATTCATTCTGTGACAAATTTTTATCAGGATATTCGTCTCTGAAACAATCTGGCATCACTGTCTTGTTTTGACGTTAGTGAATGACGAATTGGGGATTCCCTGGGATTCCGCAGATTTCACTTGCTTCCCAGTGGCGTACTCGAATTTCGAAGCATTTTATGTTCAATTTTCAAGATGAAATTTCTCGTTAATGTGAAGACTTAGGAAAAATCAAATATTTTAGTAATTTTTGTTAGACTCTCTCATATATATGTCTTGAATATATGCACTCATTTTAAAATCAGCCTGTATATTGGAAAGGAAGTGAGAAAGAAACTTTCTGATGGACATTAGGTATTTCCCTCAGGGGACTTTATTCGTGGTAGGAGTATGTACAGTTCCTCATGGGTCACCCTGTATTGTTACATACAAACGAAGCGCGTCGTAAAATGTTGACGTTCGTTCAGAACTACTCAAAAAATAATCGCATCGAATACAATTCGAATTTCAAACTATTCATGGTTATACTTCTCAAACTTCCTGCATAATTACAAATCATGTCAGTTCAACTGAATAATCCGCCCGCTTCGCGGTCGTATCATTTCAACTGTCAAACTGACACTATACACTATAACCCGAATATTTTGAAGTAACAACAAAAACAAGTATCATTATCTAGAATTCTGCATCACTACATAATATCACAGATTTGATTATTTTTCGGTGAGTCAATTGTTTCCATAAAAAATTATGATGATGATAAATGATAAAAGTTTGTTCCTAGTGATTTGAATCAAATTGATTATTAAAATTGACAATGACTTCGGCTGAACAAAAAATGATGGAATATTTGGACTTTGCGTGAAATTGAGAAGAATTTGGAGATAAAAGTATATGTTTCACATGGCAGAAAAGAAGATGTAATGCCTTGGCTGGTTTCCTAGCTTCGGCTACGCCTAGGCTATGAAACGCCAGCCGCCTCGCAAATGCAAAATTCGCTTGTCGAACAAAGGGTCACTTTTGATCCGAATGAAACTTCCTTTTTTTTTCTACACTCGAAACAATTAACTCAAATGAATATGTGAAGTAACAACCAATGCCGTGCCATATGTATGCAATGCAACAAATATTGACAAATAATCCGTGTGGTGAGAATATTCTACCTGCATTAACAGCAGGTTTATTCAATTTTCAAGGATGTTCGAATTGTAGTTTCAATATAAATACAACCACAGAGTGACATATTTGTGTATGGACTAGGTGCTCTAATGGCAAATGCCGCGCCAGTGCCAAGTATAGAAACAAGACGTGGAAAATGTTAGGTTAGTTAGCATATCAACAATAATAATAGTAATTATTTCTTCCCCTACTGTGTTTGACTTGATAATCCAATAGAGGTAAACAATATCGTTGTTTGAGACAAACAATTATTGCTTGCCGTGATTATTCAAAAACAAGTTATCCATCCCGAGAATAACGAATGAAATACAGATCAAGCAAGTATGTGAATCTTGAAGGCTTCCCTGATCAAAACGAATATACTCAACTGAGATGTTTATAATTCTTATACTTGACTATAATAAGGTGTATTTATATCTCCAGCATGGGTATGAAATGCCAAATCTGCCGAAATCGGAAACAAATCAGTTATGCGTCCCAACCCAAATAACCAACCGTAACAATATTGTTTATTTTTGATGACGCCTAGTACATCCTTTTCAGTTCCTAGGAGATAAAGTTCAACTTCAGCTTCTAGGAACTAAAGTTCAACTTCAGCTCATAGGAATATGTTGCCTAGCAACATACCTTTTTTGTGTCAGTAATAGAAAGGTCAATTCAAGAACTAATTTTGATATTGAAATGGACAACTTCTGTATCGGTTGCAGAAAAATAACTATTATTTTTTAATTGACATATTGAGGTACGTAAGAAATAATATAACTGTCAGACATGGAGTTCTAGTATTCATTCAATAAAACCAGAGGGGAATTTCAGAGAGAGTTCGAACTTACGTGGGAGATTTTCGACGTATGTCGAAATCGACCGTCTTGGACTGCCTGAATCCCCGGTTGCCAATGGCGTTAGGCCGGATTTGTATGTCTTCGGTGAAATACAAACCGTCGTCATTGCGAGGAAAGGGTCCGACGTTTCGGCTGATCGGGTCGTCTTTGTTGCTCTGCAGAGTACGCAGAACCTCCTGAAAAAAAAAAACTAGAATGAAATTCATCCTAAAAATATGACAGCGTATTAGCTCGGGTAGAACAATAATATTGGTGGAATATTGAACCAATAAAGAGTGAATGTTGAGAAATTATTGTTCTTGAATATAAGACCCAATAAATCAATGTGAACATTCTGGAATTTTGGTGCTATGTTAAATTTAAATCGTGTTTCGATATGCCTTATCCAATATCGAGTTTATATTCGTATACAAGATTGGGCAAAGATATTATGCCAACTTATACTACTTGACTAACAGGATACGTCAACTGATTCATAAGTTCTATCAACTAAGGGATTTTCTCAATGAGAATGTTTTGATCCAAATCTATAAAGCATTGGTGGAATCAATTATTCGATATGGGATATTGGTCTGGGGTGGTCTATATGCGAGATCTCTTCGGAAATTAAACATCATACAGAATTACATTCTGAAAGTTATTCAAAAAAAGAAAAAGGACTCTCCCACTCGGCTGCTATTCAGTAGAGATGTACTTGATGTTAGGTCACTTTATATAAGCAATGTGTGTATATACTTTCACAAAAAAGATAGCTTGAAAAATTTTGTCAATAATATTATTATAGAACGCGTAGTGTAGAAGTTAGACATGTTAGAATACCAAAAAGTTCGAAAAATATTAACAAAAGATTCATTAGTTATCTTGGTCCGAAGTTTTATAATTTGTTACCTTTGTCAATAAGGAATTTGAGAAATATAAAAAAAATCCGCATTAGTTGTACAACATAATATTGTAGACAATTTAGTAACCTTTCTAGAAATCTTAAAAAATTAAGTTGTTTTGGGTCTATTGCAATATTGTAGAAAACAGTTTTATTAAACTCCAATTTCTATGCATCCCCTTGAGAATAACATGTAATGTTCTATATTCAAATTTGCCGCTTACACATAAATAAAAATTGTTTATCTCTATGCATATACAGGTGCTTGCACATAGATGCTAAGTAAAACCTTCATATTATTATAATGATTATATTAGTTGAACTATATGATGTATGTTTGTATGATATATATATATGGTAAATAAATAAATAAATAAATAAATAAAATAGAATCCGGTTTTTTTATAATTCCCATATGTGAATTTGATATTGAATTTATTTTTGCCTACTATGTATATTGGCCAAAATGAGGATGTGATAATTTTGCAATATTATCTTTATGTAGAATTATAATATTCAATCAATACTGTATTTCGTTCTCGTCACAATATTCAAATACGAAATTCGAAGCCATATTAGCCTCATAAAAAAATTGTGATATTGGTACAATAATATAATAGTATAATGTATCAGATCCATTTTCATTCTCTGTATCCCAGAATACCAAGTAAAACGAATGCTGCAGTATTTGATCCCTCTGAGCAGTCGTTTGTTGGAGACGTGCTAGAGGCACCACCTGTTATAACGTCGCTCAAATAACGAAATAAATATTTCTGATACCGAATTGATATTGAAAAACCGATATCAGTGCACATCAGTGCAATATTGGTTCTTCGCTTGCTACCTTGCTGAATACCGTGAAGGAGCTCATATACTGCGTTGTTGATGACACAAACCGTGAAAAAAACGTACTTTTTTCACAGTTTTCCGTGAAATAATAGTAATTTGATATTGAGAAATTGTACACTTCAAGCACACAAAATATATTGAAAATGTGCAATTTTTTTACAGTTGTAGGAAAAACTATTTACACATTCTCATTGTTACTTCTTCTGTTTTACAAGAAATTATTCTTCAGTGCCCTCTCACGGCTCAAGGGTGCATTTTCGTATAGAGGTAAGTCGACTTCAATCGGCCTATTTTGGTCTAGTTTACCCTGTAGAATTCATGGTACGTTGTTCTGGGACACCTTGTATATCTGAGAATATTCCTTTTCGATACATGTTGAGAAAATGATTTATTGAAAACAAATGACTATCTTAGTCAACTTTTTATACATCATTGTATTCAGAAAAAAAATCTGTTTCTATATAACTGTTGCATAACCGTACTCACAAGTCACAACTCATATTATAGAACAAAATTGTATCGTTACTCACATATCAAGTATTATAACACTTGTGTTGTATACATTTCATATTACAGTTGTATAATTATTCTCATAATATTCAATTTCGGTACTGAGATATGGTTGTATAGAGGTCATATAAATTGTTTTATTAGAGTTATTTTTGCTTGATTATAAAAACTATTTTATATGCATCAGTAGCCAACACGACATTTTTTTTATGTTCTGGAGGTTATGATAATAATACCTATAAAAAGCAACATTATAAAACTTTATCATTGTATAGTGTTCTGAGTAGAACAAAAAGATTGTATAAGATTACGCCATCTTTATCACCCAATTAAATTTTGAAAATCCATTGATGTGGGGATGCTTCCCTTTTGAACTGAATGGGAAAACATATATGATATTTCGTTAAAATTTGGAATCCAACCTTGAATCCAACTCATTGAAATTGGAACTAATTTTCTTTTTTCAATTCATAGTAAACCCAATCGTTAACTGAAATCTGACCCTCAATTCCCACAAATGTATACATATTTTGCCAAAGAACTTCGTTGTGGAAGGACATTCATGGTAGGTTTATCCAAAGGTACTTGAATTTATTGTATAACGTGATTATGAAACATATTTGTAGGATTATTTCATAATCACTTTCATAAGGACTGTTTAGTTTTTTAATAGAAATCTTATTATATCGTAGTGTTGTATAACATAGGACTCTTCAGGGTTGTAAAGACATTGTACATAGATATAAGACTCCATTGTTTAATGGAATTCAACCTCTGTAGAAGATAAATTGTCAAATATCAAACAATGATCTTAACATTTTGGAAATGAATCTAATCATCATCATCACTTCCAATCTTCTTAATTTGAGAGGAAATAATAATTATCACAACGATAAACGGTACTCTCTCAATCAAGTATCAAGTATAATTACACAAAATTGACTATCAGTCAGAGGACTTAAATTGATTGCTATACAAACAAACGACTTCTAATTTTGAATTGTGCCAAGGATGTAGAAAATTGCAGAATGATGATAACAATTATTCATGAAGGGTATCAAATTAAGTTTTCATCATGTATAGTGAACTACTAGTTACTAGTACATAGTTTATCACTACATCAGATAAATCCCATTAGGTATGTAAATCAGTTTTCTTGATGAACAAATTTGGGGATTACATTCTACAAAACAATACCCATTGTTTAATTTACGAAAACAACTTCCTCGTTAATTCATGTGCCTAACATATCGTGCTCATTTTATTACAAACATTGTTTTATATAAGATTCTCAGACTCGAATTGCATTATTTTGTGGATTTGCATTGTGAAAAAAATCGATACTTTTCGAGCAAATACAGGCTTGAGTTTTGGTGGCATTGAATTCAATTAGGATGCTAATTCCCAAGGCTATAATTTTAGCAAGATCTTCATTGACAGCGTTGACCTGCCTATAAAGTAGGGGAACCGGCTGCAACTTTCGACCGGCATCTGATAACGAAATGGTTTATGTTCCAGAGGCATGTAGAAACATTGTATCTTTTCTGCAACTGACTGAAAAGTCGTCCATTTTAATTCCAAAATTAGCTCTTGAAGTTGACGCCTCACGAAACGATATTGTTTACCTTCATTTGATTACCGAGCCAAACACAGTGGCATATGGGGAGAAATAAATAACCGCTATTATCATTGTTGATATGCTCAATAACCGAACATTTTCCAGTATTTTTTTCTATACCTGTACTGGCGCAGCATTTGCAATTAGGGGTATCAGGTCTGACACCTGGTCCGAATGAATTCATCGATTCAATAAAATACACAAATGGGTCACTCTGTGGTTGTATTTATATTCGAACATCCTTGAAAATTTAATAAACCTGATCTGTAAATACAGGATTATAAGTTGAATTGCATACATAATTATAATATGGCATACAGGTTCCGGGTATATTATTTAATTCGTGCCTGTCGTATCTGATGTCTGCATGTCAACACCAATTGTAACAAAGTAAAGTAGTCTGAAGTCTTATTGCTTCTATCTACTTACCAATATTATCATAGTGAAGGTATCATAATGATCTGTCAAGTAAGTCACATTGGGGGTTAATTATTTATTTTTTTCTGTGACGGGAAAAAAGTTTGGCATTTCATCTCTATTGGCAGGTTATAAAATGTCACTTTTCATAATATACTTTTTTCCCGTGGGAAAAAACTGAGTACTTTTTTTCCCGGATCTATAGTTCCGAAAAATGAGTCAAAAATACCGTCTCCGAGAAAGAACTGCAAGTTCTTTCATCTTCCATTCGACTTCACGGTTACGTATATTACTAAACAACCACTAAATTGGCAATTTTTTGAAATCAAATCACAGAATTAGACTGACAGAAGTGACATCAGATATTTGATTACTTCAAAAGAATGATAAAGATGTCTACAACGCAAGTGTCCCTACTGTTAAAAACTTAAAATTTCACGTCGATAATTTTCAGATTTCAAAATAATGTAATATCTTCTCAATATTGATTCGTCCTTTCTTCTGCCAGAGAAAAAAATAGTGTATTATACACGGGAAAAATATTAGATTTTAGCTCACGGTTTTTTGTCTCCCTCCGCTACGCGTACAACACAACCTGGAGCTAAAATCTACTTCTTTTTTCCCTTGTATAATGAATAACTATTAGTTCATTCTTTCGGTTGCAGAAAAAAATAGCATGTTCCATTCGGACTTTTGATCCTAATAGAACAATCTACTATTTTATTTGTAGAAACTAGGAGAGAAAACCCTAAAAATCTAGAGAAACCAACATTCAATATTGATGATGTTATTTTTCTTTCTTGATTTGATTGCAGCAGTGTGTACGAAGCATGAACTGGAAAGCGAATATACATGCAATAACAATATGAAATTATACATTGCAAAGTAATTAGCAAACTTTTCACTTG